TTTTTTAGTGGAACCATCATCACCAACTAGAAAAAAGGTTAACGAATTACAAAGGTGGGAAGATAGTGGAAATCACCCTACTTAAAATTTGTAAGTAAGCGGTTATTCCTGTGGTTAATTTAAAAGGCTAATTTCGCTTATGCGGTGACCTTCGGAGGACCGCTCTGCAGTTCAATGCCATCATCAAATCCCTGTTGAACCAACGGATAGCGTGTAGAAAACTGGCAGATTATGGGCAATTCAACCCACTTAAAACACTTAATGCGGTAGCTACAATACAAAAGGACCATACGAAGACCCTACATTGAAACCCTACCGCTTTTTCAAATTCCCAACAACTACAGTTATGACGAGATACTCACTTTCAACTCAGACCTTTACATTATTCTCGCTATTCTGATGTAGTAATCATTTATGTATTCATATTTTGTGTTTTTTATTGAAATGTATTACAAGTGTTGATTAATTACCTTACAGACTTATGACTATGAACGCGACGGTGGTCTCCGCTTCTATCTGCCTATCACCGCTACCAATATTCAACCAGCCTTTCACTCCAATGCCTTCTACAGTGCCACTGGAACTCTGACGGTGACGCTGGTTGACGTCAACGACAGACCTCCTACACTAGTTGGCGGCCCGTACGTTATGATACGGGCGCATCCCCCTGTTTTAGTGTCTCTCTGACAGGGCGCCTAGATACGCGAATCCTGACATGCCTATCAGACTGCACCGTCGGCCCCAACGTCCGTTATTAATGTACTGACCAGTATTTCAGGTTTATGCTAGTGATGGTCTCAGAGCTTAGGATGATAGACACAAGATACTATGAGCGGAGAGGTCAGCCGTGTAGGGAAGGACAAAACTGTTTACGTCATGTCGAGGTGCTGCAAGCTGTTTTGATTGGCGTGCAAGTTGGAACATGTTAAGGCAGTGAGCATGGATGTGCTCTCAGAGCAGGCCTAGCCTACTCTGTCTGGTATGTCTGCTGTGTTCACTTCCTTGACGTTGTCTGGACAACTTCGTTTGGTTGGCATGGCTTCCTGCTGAGTAGCGAAGTACAAGAGATCTTGTACTTAATTAGCAAGCCCTTGCTCTGTACGTTGATAACTGCATGAACCAGATCTTCTGTCGGTTTGAATGACTTCCGGTTACATCTCCGCCAATAATTATATCCAGTAATCTGCATAAAAAGGGCCAATATTGACTGAGGGCTTGCGTTTGTCAAGCTGTGCGTTTTTTCTGCATGCGGCTTGTTTTACTAGGATGAGCATGCCTACTGAAAATATGTCAATAGCAACGCTATAAATAATTGAAGAAGTGTGACAGTATTATCAGCCCGTGCCGAAGGTTCACATTGCTGGACGTTCTGGTTTGCAGGTATTGCTTTTCTTACGAAACCTGGACATAATGGGTGTGCAGTAGGAAGTAGGATGAACAGTGTATGAAGTAAAAAGCTGCTAGATCAATGGTTGGCTGTGGAAAACAAGGTTAAACGTTAAAGCCATCGCAAAGTCCTTCTATCCTTTGTTGAAGAATATTTTCTTTGAAGAGAAATGGAAAAGTCAGAGGGCAAATGAGTTCAATATACCGAAAGATGATATTAACTTTCCAAGACTATAAATAATTTAACTGTGAAGAAATGGCAAGACTTTAATGTGCCTTACTATGGGTGGTTCAAATGGCCATGTCCCGAGTAGCTCTAAACCAGTTCAATGCTCGTGACAGTATTTTTTTCAAGCGGCGTTAGATAATTATCCTTACTCAGATAACAGCCTCTGCAGAGATCTGCAATTTGAACAATTAGGAGCATGCTTGCCCTTGGTGTCCTCTCATATATTCACCCTCTTATGCTACGATCTGTGGAATTGCATCTAGTGAGTTGACATCACTTCTATTAAGCAGCTATGGTTGTATGCTGAAGTCTCGATAATCATTTATATGTTTTTAGCCAGGGTTTTTGATACCCTTTTCATCACATGTATGGCGTTGAACTGATAAGAACGGAATTCCTGCCGTGCACAAGAAAGAAAGAAACAATACCGTTTCTGTTACTGTTTCCTGCTCATGTCTCTGATGATGAATCCGCGACGGATGTCGAAGCGTTAGGCGTAAAAACGTATTGTCCCAGCGATCGAGTTGCCTTTTTCTCAATTACTTCCTGGGACTCGCATATGAGCTTGTATTAGGCGATGCTTTCGCCTGTGGGGAGGCACTTTGCGCGCTGATCGTTTTAGTTACTTTATTTTTATTTTAATATATTCAACCTCCACGTGCTACTGTGCGATGTATTCTATATTCATGTGCTAGCTTGCTAGTATAGATGCCTTTTCACGCTTTAGGTCCTACGAGGCCGTAGTGCCCGAATCTGCTCCTGTGGGAGTGGACGTCTTCACTTTTCTCATCTCTGACCCTGACGTCTCGGACAGGGGTCTTTTCGAGTGTGTCCTCGCCGAGCCAAATGCCTACTTTAATGTCACATTCCTCGAATCTATAGAGGCCTGCGGTGTGCGGGTAAGCACTAGTCCTCTCCAGCCAAGTTATTTGTCCTCTCACACATTATGAACACCCTTCCAACCAAAAATGTGCCACTTTCGTGTTTACTGTGCGACACTAGGCTTGGGGTGGGGAAAGGAGGAAGGCACATAGACCTCTGCTTGATTTCGTTGGGGGTGTCTACAATCCCGAAATGCAGTATTCCCCCAAAAGAGACAACGTTTGGGTTGGAAACAACAGCATGCATACATCTTAGTTCTGAAAAAACTTGCCGAGGCAAGTTACAGTTTGTTGAATTTTGTGCTTCACACTAAAACAGTTTGACATTTATTGGATGTTTTCCGATTTTAAGCTGTCAAGCATGACTTCTGATGTTTTAAATATAGGGTGAGTATAGGTTAGGTTGCAATGGTGGCAACTGCTGTTGTGTCACCG